GATGAGCTTACTTTGAAACATGTATGGCAGATCCTAGAATTTGCCCCATTGGTCCGGTCGACTAAGTAAGGCTATCTCTTGATATGATCTTAGCCAACTTTAAAGAGTGTGAGCCAATTTGACATATACCTCTTTGTGGCCTACCTTGTGAGTATGTGTGAACCTCTTTGTAACACTCCTTAAGCCTTACCTTTCTTTGGAAGAAACTTGATGAAATCATAACCTTTCTTTATCCATTACCTATAATCCTCATGAAGTTGTGGTTAGTTTGAACAGCCAACTTAGGCCAAAAGCCTAAGTTTGGGTGTGGTGAAAAGAAAAGGTAAATCAAGAAGTGCAAGAAAGTCCTTCTTACCCATGATTTTGAGAGAAATAGAACCCCTCCATAAAAAATAAAAAAAATAAAAAGAAAAGAGAAAGGAAAAGAAAAAGAATGAAAAAGTTGAGGAATAAAGTGTGAAGATATAAAGAAAATGGGGTTTCCAAAAATCCAGTGAATAATGGGGACTTATGAGCACTAGCAAAAATGATGAAGGAAGAGGAAAAAAAGTGTTGTGAATACCACATCTTATGAGGATAAAAGTCACTAAGCCTAAATGACCATACCTTTGCACTCAACCCCATTACAAGCCTTGAAAAGACCTTTTTGATCTTGAGTGAGCTGAAACAAATGTTGATCGAAAAATACGGGCACACTTATGGATGAAAGTATGCATCGTGTTCATCTTTGTGAGTGTGAGCGTTGCATTCGATTCCGAATCTTTAAATTGCATACCATTGTGTGAGAATATGGAATCATTCCTTGTGTGAGGGCATTTGAACACTTTGGTTGAACTTGAACTTGTATTTGAAGCAAGTATTGTGAGCATGAGATTCTTTGATATTGCTGAGTCACAACTTGAATCTTTGAGTGCACATTTGATCTTTGCATAAGTAAATTGAGTCTTGTTGTGTGCATTCATGATTGAGTCTTGTGTAGCACTGTTCGAGACACCCTTTTTGAACGACTGAACTTGAGTTTGCTTAAGGACAAGCAAAAGTTTAAGTTGGGGGTGTTGATGAGTCCACAAATTGGACTCATTTAGGGCTATGTTTTGATAGAACTAGTGTCCTCAAATGCATATTTTGTCTCAATATTTGATGAAAATTCTTAAGTTTCATGTATTTGGAGTTTGAGGGAAAACATGGACACTACTTAGCAAAAAAGAACAAAGGCAGCTGAAAGAACGAAGAAATGAAGATCTGAGAATCGTCGAACCCATTCGGCGAGTCGCCAAAAGGTCTTATCCTCGCCTTTTGTTCCAGTGTGCTGAGCCCTGAAGGAAAAGATCAAATCAGCGGTGAAATGAAGCAGTCGACGTGTCGCCGAGCAGTTCCGCGAAGCAGTACTATACCGCCCAATGATCCATGATGCAAAGATGCTGAAGGCAAGAGCTGAAAGGCGATGAAGCAGACCAAAGGGCAGATCGCCGAGTCTATCAACGATCCTAACTAACTGCGCCGAATGGCTCATTTGCAGCATATTTTCTGAAACTATAAATACTAGTTCAATTTTTATTCTTAGTAGTCAATTTTAGTTGTATTAAGTTTAGAATACAATTTTGAGAGACAATATTCTCTCTAAGTTTGGAGAGGGTTTTTGAAGAACTTGAAGATTCAAAGTGTTTCAACTCCAAGATTTTGGACTTGGGTCTTGTGGATTTTTCACTCTTGACTTGTTTTAAGACTTAATCTTGCATACCCATTGATGGAAAGTGAGATTGGTATAACTTTTTATCTCTTTAACATGTCTAAAATCCCAATTCTTGGGGTGTGATTTTGTGAATATGGGTTAGATAATCTGTTGGGTCTTGCTTGTTGATGGTTTATTTGTTGTTTACATATGATTTTGTTTAGTAGTTGTGGTGGAACTTAATGAAATTGTAGTTGCAAATACGATTTCACCTTTGTGTTTTCGGCTTGCTTGATAGAGAGGTCGTAAAACTAAGACTACTAAATTGATGGTCGGTGAGATTGGGTCAACATGAGGTTCAGCTCGAGAGAGTGAACCCTAGTCTTTCTCCCACACACTCAACTCGAGAGAGTGAACCCTAGTCCTTCTCCCACACACTCAGCTCGAGAGAGTGAATGGTCTAAGGCGGAGGCTGTGCTTAAAGGGGCAACTCGGTGTTCAAGAGAAACCGGGTTGATTCGGGGTAAGTTGCTTGAGAGAGAATTTACCCCCACTATAGTCTAGCCTAGTCACAAATATTCAACGAATTTACTATCAAAAACATGTACTCAATAGTCTAGTTTATCACGTATTCCTATCACATCCCAAGAATCCCGTCTTCATATTCGTATCTCTCTTTATTTTTGTTGATTTTTCTCTTTACTTGTTTAGAAACCCCCCATTGATATTTGACACTCGTGTTAAACCCTGTAATTTGTCATGTCTTCATTCGATAAATTCTTTAGCTACGGTTAGCTTTAGCACTTTCACACTTAACCACTAATTTTCAGGAACCGCTCCCTTGGGACTCGACCCTAACCCTTGGTTGGGTTACTTTACTATTGTATGATCGTAGACACTTGCATTGGAAGTTGTGTCTTGATTACGCAAATATCAGAGGACATAATGGAAAACAAGATATGTATGACCAAGCTAAAACATAGTAAAACCTTTAAAGAAGAATCAAACATCATGAACATGGTCAATTCATCTAAAAATTATATTGAAAGCTTCATAAAATACTTAAGAACAACTTAATTTATTTTGTGGGATGTTTACTATTAACCGACATAGATCACGTGAGCTAAAACGTTAAATCCGGCGTCTTGCTCCCACACCGAAAAGAGATGTCCTTGCTTTCCAAGTCAAAGACCTTAAACTTCTAGCTTAGGTGGATCCACTAGCTATGCCACTTAAGACTATCCTATGGGGCACGTAGTTAGGGGAAAAAATTCTACTAGAGACCCAACCTCTACTAACGGGAGAGCCTACATCTCAATATTCTCTCGGTGATAAGGAAAATCCAAATGGAATAGCCATAAACATATACATATCATCATACATGAAAAAGCATAATTAAGTTACTAATCCAAGCTTAAATTATCATAGAGTAGCTCCTTAAACCATGTGCGAGAAAATCTTTCACTAAATCATGATTTCTTAATGTAAGAAAATCTTTCACAATTCATACATATATGAGAAAACCCTTTTCACCATTTCATTGATGCTTATCTTAAAGCAACCTAAATCATAAAACATTCATTTTCATAAATCATGCATATCTTTCATGGAAGCATCATAGACATAAATTCATGTCTTTAAGACTTCATAGTCAAAATCATGAATAATGCTGGAGTTCATGCAAAATCAATTGGAAAGCAAGTAATTTGAGTCATAACAATGTAGTCAAACAATTGAATCAACACAATTAGAACCCATGAAGAGTTGAATGAAAACCTAATCAATTTGATGAAATTGAACTTGGAGAATTGAGAAATCCTTGGGGCTCAATGGGTGAATGAAACTCATTGATGAAACCCTACATACCTTGAGGATCGCTCAGAAGCAATAGAGGAATATGAGACTTGAAGCTTGAAACCCTAGTCTTCTTCTTGGGCTTTGAGAGAGAATTGGGGAAGATTAATATGGATAGGATTTGGGGATTTGAGTGAATGAGAGAGTTGGGGTAATTTTAGGGGTATAAGAGTAGTTATAGGTCTTAGAATTAGGATCAAAACGACATAGTATAGGTATTACATGCATAGGAAAAGATCCAAATACCCTTAAGAAATAACTGTCGAATAGTCCTAAGGTTTGGACATATGGTCGGGAAATCTTTCTACGACCCGTACTGGTCATCCGTAGAACCAACTTCAAAAACCCAAAATTCACCTTAGTTTTCACATGACCTTTCTATGGACCGTCTAATTTTCCTATGGTCTGCAGACCCCATCCGTAGAACTCAAATTCAATTCCAAAATTTTACTAAGTCTGGGACCCTTCTACGAAACCCATCTACAACCCGTAGTCCAAACGACGGCCCATCCAATTCACTCGCAGGTCAAACTTCAGAAATTTGAATTTCCCAAATCTCAACTTCATTCCTACGAGTGTCATCTACGACCCGTAGACTGGTCTCGTAGGACACAACTAGTAGCCAAAACATGAAGTCCTTTCCTTTCCCAATTTCCGAGGTGTTACAAATATCCTGGACGACGTTAGCTTGGGTGTTAGCAATGTTGATTTCTCCCTCATTTGCATTTCCTTAATCACAATCTTACTCTGATACCACATTGTTACATCATTAGTCTTCTCAATTTGCACAACTTGCTTAGGATTTTGCTATGTCAAGTAAACCTAGATTACTAAACTCAAGATCGTTAAAGGAATAGTAGATAAGGAAGACAAGAGAAATTTGTTGCAGGAAACTTTTGTATTAGAGAAAACTTGATTGATTTGATTGACAAATTCACAATTTATTAGCCATATTTGTTATGTAAGTCCTACATTTACAAGTAATCTCCTCTCAACAATATTTAAAGACCTTTCAAGAAAGTCTTTCCTAAATATTTCATAAGAATATAAAGTCTTTCCAAGAGAACTTCCCATGTCTCGAGAATTTTTCCACAAATGCTAGCATTTATTGTCTAAGCATTCCACATGGCAAAAAGATGTGTCAAGTGACAGCTACAAATTATTAGAACCAAAAGCATGGGTAAGTTCATACGAAAATTGATTCGTTCTGGAATGTTCAATTGGTTACATGTGAGATCCGCACGCACAAAATAAATGCTATTCCTATTGTACCAAGTAGACAAATACAAAGTACGTAATTACATATTACGTTTATGAAAATAATTGAAATGTTAATCATCTATTTGTCTTCTTGTACAAAGAGTGCAAATTCATTATAAGTACTTACAACAAACTAATGCAAGTTCAAAATTACAGTGGCAAAGGGGACCACCCAAAGAATAAAATAAAATAAAATAAGTAGAAAACTCTATGAAAAGATCATTAACAAAAATGTTTTAACATGATTTTATGGCGCCATACTAAAGTATTTTAGTATACAAACTATATTTCTGTATCCTGACAAGCCATAATCGGTTGGGGGACCTTTCTCCCATCAATCACCAAACTCTGGAAAAATGAATGAATTCCCTAACCTAAACTGTCAAGGGTTTGGAACTATTCACAAATGTGGCACTTTTGTCGAAGCCCTCGAGCACTAGAATTCTCATTGCTTCCAAACCATTCTGTAGTGTAAAGTCCAACTGCATTTTTTTTTAAAAAAGCATCATCAATATGGGGTTGTGCTCCTGAAGTTACTTAGAATAATAAGAAAAAGCAAGTACCTCTTCACGTTCTTGTCGATTAAATGTGCGAAGAACAAAACTTGCCGGATCCATTTTCCCTGGAGGCCTCCCAATGCCTAAAGAAAATATCAAGTTTTGAAACTATAATAACATACATAAATAAAGTACTTAAAGATCTGAGGAAATACCTATTCGCAAACGGGGAAAATCACGGTTCCCTTTAAGATGGTTCATAATGCTTCTCATCCTTTACAACATAAAACAGGAGATTACTCATGAGTCATGCCAGTATTCATGAAACAGAGAGTGCAGAAATATATCTAATCTAAGAGTATTGTACAAACAAATTCTTCAGATCACCAGGTTTTCCTATTTCATTTTTCACCTTTTTTGGTTCATGGTCCTTGTTCTAAATCTTTCCAGATAGTCTTAATAGTATCCCCTCAATTTTTTTATATATTCACTTAATTCGCTAGGGAGAGAAACTCACATGTATCTAGAGCTTCATAATCCATGTATCACAAGCCCCAAAGCTCTTGTCTAGTGGTTGAGAACGTAATGCATGATGTGTGGATTAGGCACATGTCACGGGTTCGAACTGCACACCACTAGCTCTAGGGGAATTCACATTTATCAGTAAGAGAAAAATCATATGTTTGATTCTTTCACTTAGAGCCAGGAGACAAACAGTCAACAAGCAGTTTTGAGTCCAGCTCAAAGGTGATAATTTGAGTGTGAAGACTTATGGTAAATTTGCCGTCCACAAAACTCTTGCCTACCAAGTAAATGTGTAAAACAACGAGGAATTGAGGATGAAAGCCAAAAACTAGCAAAACTCAACTATTAGATCAATAGACCTGCTTGACTTGTGCAACTATGCAAATTCATGAATCCGTCATTACGTCTTCTACACACTTTGATAATCAACCACAAGCAGTTTATGAGGAGTGAACTTGCTTCTAAATCTTCAATCAATTACAATCTACATTATTCAAGCATTAAATACCCAAGCTAATAGCAGAAACTAAAATCTGGAATTGACTTCAGAATCATTAAGCATGTGAATCGTGATGAAGGTTCTAAGATAAAGGAAACTTTCTAAAAATAAAGATTACCCATTGTGTCCTCCATGACCACCTTTTGGCAATAACCGCAACTTTGCAAAAGGCAAATCTAAGTCGTCAAAAACCTGCAGTTATAAAGTTTTACTTAGAAGTTGTTACAAAGATAAGATCTATGCTCAACTGTCATAGCTTACCACAAGAACTTGCTTCAGTGGAATCTTATAATATGAAACGATTGCCCCAACCTGTGAAATAGTGTAAATATCAATTTTATGTTACTTGGTGGATGGAAGTTACAAGAGATATAGGTCATGCTAAGATGAGTGAACTTACAGACTCACCACTTGCATTCATGAATGTCTGAGGCTTAGCAAGCATAATTGGAACATCTCCAATGAAACCTAGATAGCAAAAGAACCCAACAAACATGAAAAAGATCCTAAAAACTAAAGAGCACATTTGAACGACTGAGTTATTTATCGGACTTGTTCCTTCTTTCCAGGTCCATATTTGAAAAAGTTTGGTTAAATAATCTACCCTATTAACATAGCATGTCAATGCAGCTCGCCAAAAAATAGCCAAATATCAGCATTAAAGGTATAATGTTTAATGAGAAAGAAGATCTCAATGCAACACGGCAAGCCTGCTAGCTTCAATAATTAGCTAAGTTAAATGGAGTAACCGACAAGGGTGTGTGTAAATTCTTTTGCTAATTTAAGTGCATTTTGAAGAATGTAGAGGAAGCACCTACATAATTGGATCGAATACAGCAAATGAACTGCCCATGTAACAAAGGATATCATCAACAAACGGATTACTATCATTATTACTAATTTGATAACCAATAAATCTGAGCCCCGGTGGACACAATTTGCAACTCGGTGAAAAATCACCTCCCCCGACCCTTCTACACTTATATACCAGGCTTGGCCGCTTAGGTTTGAACCCCCAAGGTGGACCTAACCCCACATATCACGGGCTGTGCTCTTACCACTAGACCAATGTTTGCGAATATTATAACTTAATCAGCAAACAGCTACAAATTATTAGAACCAAAAACAGACTAGTAAATGCAATAATGTTAGACAAGATCACTATATAACAAGATAGAAGGATAACTCTTGAATCAAGGAAAAAAAAAGTACCTTTTCCAAATTGAGCTTTGAAGGAAACACTGCCCATTGATATTCCTTCAGCATCAGCTATAGTATCTATCATCTCAAAACCCACCTGCCAAATCAAATAATCAACTCATTACATACATAAAAAATCATTAGGAATATCTAACACAGAAGAAAATTAAGAGAACGCACGTTGTGACGGGTGCCAGCGTATCGTTTCCCAGGGTTACCAAGGCCAACGATGAGCCACGGCTGTGGCTTTGGTTTCGGTTTCCCCGGCTGAGGCGCGGATATTGCCGGTGTGTCTGGTGGGGAGGTTGAGGTAATCATTGAACAAGATATTTGGTGCAAAGAGCCGGTCGCGGCGGTGTTGCTCATCCAACCCCTCCGATACGATGATGAATTTAGGGTTTTGGCCACGGAGGAGGAGGAGGAGAAAAGGCAGCGGCCGCGGCGGCAGAGGACCGTCGCCGATGATGCAGTGCTAGAAATTACACATGCTAGTTTCATTGTGCTTACTATATGTTAAAGGGAGTTGGTGGAAACTGAATTTAGAACAGAAACGGATTGGTTGAATTGGAATTGCAACACCATGGCGGCCAACGACGACGTTTTGTGTTTTCTAAAAAGAAAAAAAGACAATGTATTAAAAAAATAGATGGAAAAGAATAAAAGATGTCCTTAAACTTTTTGAATTTTTGAAATTTAACAAAAATGCTCTCGATTAATGATTTTGTTTAGAAATGTTTCTTTTGTTAATTGGTTGTCAAAAAAATGTTCCTATTATTAACATCATTGATATTTTTTAACCTAATAAAAATTAGGAAAAATCACCCAGGCATAATATTACAGCCTTTAGATGTATTTTTTTTTTTATAGAGGAACTTCCACATATAGCCACTAAAAAATAGTCTAATTACTCTCCATAATTATATTTTGATAATTACAATTCGTAGCTACATGTTATAGGGAGGAGAGAGGAGAGCGAGACTGGGAGAGAGTTGAGATAGGCGAGCGAAAGAGGGCAAAGAGTGGGAGAGAGGTGAATTGTATATGTATATCGGTTAGATAATTGTATATTATACATATGTATTTGTATATATGGCAAACGAGATTGGAAGAGGGAGAAGAGAGGCGAGCGAGATTAGGAGAGGGAGGAGAGAGGCGAGCGAGACTGGGAGAGGGAGGAGAGAGGAGAGCGAGACTGGGAGAGGGAGGAGAGAGGCGAGCGAGATTAGGAGAGAGAGGAGAGAGGTGAGCGAGATTAGGAGAGGGAGGAGAGAGGTGAGCGAGATTAGGAGAGGGAGGAGAGAGGCGAGCGAGAGAGGGCAGAGAGTGGGAGAGAGGTGAATTGTATATGTATATAGGTTAGATAATTGTATATTATACATATGCATTTGTATATATGGCAAGCGAGATTGGGAGAAGGAGGAGAGAGGCGAGCGATAGAGGGCAGAGAGGTGAATTGTATATGTATATTGGTTAGATAATTGTATATTATACATATGTATTTGCATATTCTGGCGAATTATACATATACAAACATGACTAATTATACAAACTCGAAGTCAGCCCATGTAATTATTGTATAATGTTAGTCGCGAGTGGTAATTATAGCAAACTATAGCTATGATGAGTAATTAAGTAGGTTAAGTTTGCCTAACCACGTAATTTTCCCTTTTTTATATTACTACTTATAATATTATAATTATAAGTATTAACATACTAGTTTTGATCTATAATTTAATTTATTTTATTTTATTAATTAGTTATTATGTTTATAATTACATTATAATTAATAAGTAAGAGAAAAAAAATTAATATTAGAGAATCAATTGTAATTATCTATTACACCTTTTTAGGGATTTTTTCAATTTTCACACGGCAACCCCCCACCCCACCACTTTCCTCTTTTACCGACATGCAAACCCCACACCCACCCCCACGTTCCTCTTTTACAGAGAAGTAACTTTTTCTCTCTCACCATCTTCAACATTTGTCTTCTTCATTCAAAAAAATCGGCAGAATTCTTCCACATGTATATGATTCAATGATGAGAGGAGCTCTACACACGAAAAAGGGGAGAAAGCAATTGATGAACTTGCCACAATAATACCATTGTTTTTAGCTAGCACATAATTTTATGGTAAAAGGCTGGACCTCTATTCGAATAAACTATCTGCATATGTTAACAAGCCGCAATTTGACCCTCTCAAAGTTGTATTTATAAAGAATGTGCCTTAACAAGATTCAAGCTCAAAGTATATATTCTATCTTATTGTGTTTTGTTCATAATAAGTAAATCACTTTCTTTCTCAAATTTTTTTCTTCAATGTTATTTCAGCGATTATGGATTGTAATCATGTCTCTTTGTTGAATATATTAGCAATGGAGTTTTTGATATGAGTCTCATTATGTCACGACCCGAGCCTACACCCTGGATGTGGCCGGCACTTGGGAACCATTGCTGGTCCCCAAGCAAACCCTCATCCTGGCAGACTACAAGCGGAAGACTAACTCAAGCATACAAAGCTTAAAAACTGAATAAAAATTCATGAAACTCAATTACAAAGCTTTAACTCAAATGAAAAACTCTGAATAAAAATAAATTACTCAACTCGCCATAAAATAGGCAACTTAAGTCTTTAAACATTTAACAAAATAAATGAATAGACTTCTGAAACTCTACTGTCTATCGATAAAGCCTCTAAATGACAAAGATGAAAGTCGGGACAAGACCCACAACATTCTAACAACTGATATAACTGAAAGTAAAAGTGGAACCCTCCGAAAGCAAGGAGGATCACCATAGCTAACTCGAACTTCATGTGGTATCAACGAAGCTCCTGTTGATGACCTGAATACCTGTATCTGCATCATGAAACGATGCATGACAAATGGCTCAGTACGTGGAATGTACGAGCATGTAAGGGGAATTCTAAAGCATAACATGTCACGACCCGAGTCTACACCCTGGACGTGGCCGGGACTCAAGAACCATTGCTGGTCCCTCAGTGAACCCTCATCCTGGCTGACTACAAGCGGAAGACTAACTTAAGCATGCAAAAGCTTAAAACTGAATAAAATTCAATAAACTCAACTTCAAAAACGTTAACTCAAATGAACAACATAGAATAAAAATAATAAATTCAACTCGCCATAAAATAGGCAACTTAAGTCTTTAAAACATCTAATAAAATAAATGAATAATACAGACTTCTCAACTATACTGACTATCTATGAAGCCTCTAACTGATAAAAATGGAAGTTGGGACAAGACCCACGACATCCTGACTAAATTGAAAAGTAAATGAAATCCTCCGGAAACAAGGAGGCTCACCATAACAAACTCGAACTTCCGGATGTATCAACGAAGCTCCTGTTGATGATCCTGAATACATGTGTCTGCATCATGAGAAGATGCAGGCCAAATGGCTCAGTACATGGAATGTACGAGCATGTAAGAGGAATTCTAAAACATAAACATAAGCTTGAAAAGAATCTGAAAGGAAATTGAAGAACTTACCTCGCTCAACTCAACTCAACATAACTGAACTCATTTCAATATAAAGCAGTTTTAAAACAAGTGCAATATAAAGAAAAACTGTTTAAAAAATGATGTCAACTCTGGACGTATGCAAAGATACACTAAACTCTGAAATGTATGTAAAAAAATACAAACAAATGTGTATATAAGAATATAAATAACTTATGTGAGAGTTTCTCTAATCGACAACCATCACTTAAGAGCTATAGTGATGATACAATGATCTTTCTCACGCTGCCAGCGCATCCTATACCTTGCCACATGTATAAGACCTGAACTACTAAGTGGATCCACTAGTCTATGCGAAAAAGATTCATCTAAAAAGTATGACCCTTTTCTACCCATGATGGCTACATGGTTTATGGGGGCTGTGGGTTCTCTGAACGCTCCTCCATATCGGTGCTCAATACTGCTCCCAAAATATGATAATAGATCTTTATGTTTAAAAACATACTTCTTCTGTGATTTGAGATTAGTGCTCAAAAACTTAGCTCTAAGGCTATCTTGGAAATCAAAGTTTCGTCTCTTGCTTTATTGTGAAAGCATTTACTCTTTAACTGAAAACTAGCCCAAAGTCTCTTTACTGAAAAACTAGATTAAAGTCTCTTTACTGAAACACTAGCTCAAAGACTCTTTTGAAAATCTCAGTTTTCCGTTCTTATTTAAATGTGAAAACATTTTAAACTCTTTTGGGAATACATAGTCCCCATATACTTTTGAAGAAATGAACTTCAACTTTACTCTTTACTGAACTAAAAACTTAAGTCTTTAAACAAAGTTAAAACACTTGTAAAAGACTTCTTAAAATATGGTTCATGCCGAATTATGGACGTGAACGACTCGATGCAAGGTTTTCAATAACCACAGATAGATCTCAATACTTGGAACTCAAGAAATTCACTAATACTACTCATTTCAAGAATGCTCAACTCAGAGGGTTCATGCAGAATTATGAGCATGGACTATTCAACTCAAGGACTCAAATATACTTCTCATCTCAAGATTTTTGTTTTGTCACAACTTTGGAATTGGAATCCACATGCTAGATGCGAGGCTTCTTGTCGAGGCACAACTTTTATTCCACGGTTGTACCATACAAAATTTCTTTTCTAAAAAAAATCTCTTTCTTTTTTTTCCCCAACGACAAAGGAACTTACGGGCGGGGCATTTTCACTCCCGATACTCTTCCTCTGTCACCTCTATCTCCAAATCAACGGTTTATAATGTTCACACGGAATTATGGGCATGAACAACTCAACTCATGGACTTCATGGGTAATAGGTAATAGTTCCATGATTAGGAATATAATCTCGGAAAGGTTAGGAACTCGATACTCAAGACTTAGAACTTGAAGATACTACTTCTTCCAAAGATTGATGGAGTTCTAGCGGAAGTTATGGGAATGAACGACTTGACTCAAGGGTCAAAATATAAATACGAAACTCAGGTATACGACTCTTCTCAATCTCATACTTACTTCTCAAAACTTAGCTCAAATCAATAGTTTATCTCAAGGATTCACAATTGAATTCAAAGGCTTTCTTGAACTCTACTCTTAACTCTCTTTTGAATGTGAATTATGAATTCAAGAGCTATGCTTCATGGTATGAAAGATCTTGTAATGATAAGGTAGACTCATGAATACATTTTCCTCACTCGTACTCACTTGCTCGAGTCTTGAAACAAGTTATTAGAAATTGTAGAAGACTCCTCAAAAGGACTTAAAGGACTTTTAACTCTACCTTGAACTTGAATTATGGATTCAAGGTTGTGATTTGTGATATGTAAGATCTCATGATGTTTATGATTGATTTTAGATAGCTAAAAATGAGAAAAGATAAAAAATTCACAACTAGGAAGCTAGTCCACGATGCAGAGACGCATTAAAATAATTGGTCGTGAAATAACTGTTGAGGCAGAGAGGTCCGTGACCCCTCCGCGATGCGAAGACAACTTTATGAAATAGGGAGGCAGGTCCGCGACGTGGAGGCAAGTGCCT